GCCATTAATTCAGATAAAACTGCCATAAAGACGCACTAAAGGGAATCATTTACATTGTTAATGTAACTTTTATTGTAAAATTTCTCTAAAGGAAAATTACCTAAAATCTAAAATGCAAAATATGTATTAACTTTAAACTTTACATTTACATCGTAACAAAGTAATAACAGCTTATTTAAAACAAAAAAACATGGCTCAATTTATGTACACATGAATAGGAATTGTGAAAAAATATTCCTATTATGTTTCACTATACACTCCAAAAACAAGTAAAGATTCTTAAAACAAGTGTATTTACCTTTTGAGTAGGAAAATCAGATGATCTACCCATGGAATCAGCTTTTTTACCCTTAAAATAAGATAATTAGATATTTTGCAGTCCTTTTTTTTCTTATTTTAAATGTAAATTCTCTTATTCCATTGGCAAAGTTTCTCACTTCCCTGCTCAATTCAGGGAGAAATTCACTTGTTTTTAAGAAAAATGTACTTACTTCGATTTACATTTTTTGCTGTGTAACTTTTAAATCAAAGGTTATTTTTATGCCGGCTCTGAAAAGTAATTTTTCATTCATCGATATGTTTAACGACAAAACATGTATTTGTGGTGTGGCTGCTTCAGGCGGCTCATAAGAACGGGCAAGATTTATACATGTCTTTTAACATTATAAGATGGTATAACATATAATCTAATCTAATCTAATATAATAATATAAAGTAATATAATATAATATAATAAATATAATATAATATAATGTAATATAATATAAAATATTTTAATGGTCTAAAAATCAAAAAATATATTGAATATATTTCTCCTTTGTTTCGCTCTTTACTGCTGAAAAACGAGGGAGAACACAAAGATAATTTATTTCACTGCTGAATTTTCTTTTTATATTTCAAATCTTTTCTTCTTCTTTTGGGCCCCCCCTTCAGTCAAGGGCCCTTAGAAATTGCCTAGCTCCCCCCCTCCCATATACGGTCTGTTTAAATTTTTTTTTTTCTTTTTTATCTTTGAGGCTTTTGCTCTGGATTTCATATCAGCTGTCCAGCATGGTGCCAGCTTAAGGCCGGTGACTCCCCGGCCTTTGTAAGGGTGTCGCTTGGATTTGAATTAAAAATGCCACTGAAATTTAAATGTTGTATGTTTGTACTTAC